TCCAGTGAAAGAGGTCGATCTGAACCTCAGATACATCGCTAATCCTGATGGCATCGCTTTGGACTGGGTTGGCGGGTAATTCACCAAGACTATGACTTAACCACTGCAGAAGTTGCTCTGAATTAGCATTCAGTTGCTCAGTATGTATTTATCACCTTTTACAGGCACATTTACTGGACAGATTCAGGCACCAATCGAATTGAAGTGGCCAAACTAGATGGGCGGTACAGGAAGTGGTTGATCCACACAGACCTGGACCAGCCCGCTGCTATTGTTGTCAATCCGTCTCTCGGGTATGAGGCTTTACTGTAAAAACAATTTCAACAAATCATTTGCCTCCTTTATTGCTTTTTATTGTATGAAGAACTGTTGATTATTTCTGTGTTGACAGGATGATGTACTGGACCGACTGGGGCAGGAAACCCAGAATAGAATCAGCGTGGATGGACGGTCAGCACAGAGAGGTGCTGGTGAATGAGGAGGACCTGGGCTGGCCTACTGGGCTGGCTCTGGACTATCTGAATGGAAACAGGATCTACTGGTGTGACTCCAAAGAAAACATCATTGAGTCCATGAAGCCTGATGGCACAGACAGGAAGATCGTCATATCAGGAGGTCAGAACGCTGAGATGTAGAGCAGCCGGTCTGCAGAAATAGAGACAAATATGTAGTTTTATGAGCAGCACTGATCATATATCAAGTATTTTATCCAACAGTGGAGGTGATTCACCTTAAAGAGAAGAATGTGCGTTTAAAGTATTGTGTTTTTTTCTGTTTCAGACATTGGACATCCCTACAGTCTGGATGTGTTTGAGGGGCACGTATACTGGACAACAAAGGAGAAAGGTGAAGTGTGGAGGACTAACAAGTTCGGGAAAGGAAACAAAGTCAAAGTCCTGACCATCAACCCCTGGCTGACTCAAGTCCGCATTTACCAGGAGCACCGACACAACCAGTCAGGTCAGAACTCGTCAATCAGTTGTTCAGAATAAGATAGAAAATGTTTTACTATTGTATGTCATGTTTGAGGTATCACATAAACTGATGTTGGATTATTGTAGTGGCTTTTTTTGTTGCCAAAACGCTTGTGAAACATGTTAGGAAGCAGTTCTCAGTTTTAGTCAGAATTTAATTGTGTAAATCAACTGTAATTATTATGTCTTTATCAACTTGCCATTGAACAATATTTAACAGTGTTATTCTCTCTGGCCCCTTCCTCTTCAGTACCCAACCCTTGTAAGAACGTGTGCAGCCACCTCTGTCTCCTCCGGCCTAGTGGATACACCTGTGCCTGCCCACAAGGCTCCACTCCGGTGGAGTTTGACTCCAATGAATGTGACGCAGGTAAACAGCAGCCAGAGTGCATCTGCTGCCTGCACACTTGTGTTGCATCTCATTTTGCATTCATTAAAATTCCCTCCTTCATATGTGCCTGGCTGCTCCTGTGCGGTTTTTGTGGTGTGATATTGTTTTGTTGTTTTTGTTGTTGTTGTTGTTGATTCTGTGTATGCCTGGCTTTTGCTCCTGCAGCCATTGAGGCACCTGTTCCAATGCCCCTTGCATGTAGATGCATGAATGGTGGAACCTGCTACACTGATGAAGGCGGTCTGCCCAAGTGCAAGTGAGTTTAGTTATAGGTGCCATTTACACCAGTTATTGGTTGGTTCTGTCCAGTCATAACCAGTAATGCCTGATGTTTCTGGTATTCCACCTTTTTAAAATACACTTCAACGTGTTTCCTAAGAGAAAAGAAAATGATGTTTAACATGACCTTTCCACAGATGTCCATATGGTTATGTGGGCAGCTATTGTGAGATGGGAAAGTCAAGGGGCGCTCCGGCAGGAACAGGTACTGTAATTTACCCATTATCTAACCTTTTACTTATTTATTTTAGTTTACAGTTTAGTCAGTTTCTGGCACTTTTTCTCGACTCAACAAATTCTACCAACCAAAACCTGCGGTAGTCCTTCTCAGATGCATTGCTTGACATGTGGGAGTTACCGTACAGTAACAGTCATGATCCCGGCTTCACTGGGGCAGATCAAGGCCAAATGTGATGAAGTCACCCTTCTCACTTATCTACCTAAAAGCTACTCAAACCAACAAGCTGAGGGAACAGTTTGGCTCAGCAGTTGCTGAAGATGTTGACGGGCCAAAAAAACACATTTCCTTAATACATAGCCAAGTAATACTTCAATTGATCACTGTTTAACTTTTCTAATGGTTCAGCAAACTGAACGGGTCATCCAAAGGACATGAGCAGTAATGGACTAGTCAACAAAATGTTATCACAGTAGGAATGTTGTGTTGTGAAAGTGTCCAATATGTATTCAACTAAATATTGTCTGCTTTGTCTTTAGCTGTGGCTGTTCTCCTGGCCGTCATTATCATCCTGATCACTGGAGCTTTGGCTGTTGGGGTTTTCCTCAACTACAAACGGACAGGATCTTTCATCCCCTCCATGCCCAAATTACCCAGGTATCTTTGCTCTCTGCGTCTGCGTACCGAAGTTGCTGCGCGCAGAAACTTCGGATCACAGTTCAAACAGGAGTGTTTTGTTTTTCGTTCAGCCTCAGCAGCCTGGTGAAGTCTGGTGACACGGGGAATGGGGTGACGTTTCGCTCGGGTGATAATGTCGATCTCGGACCATCACACATTGGAGTGTCATTCATTGACACAGCCATGCAGATGGTGAGTCTTTATTAGTTAATATTTTAAGTGTACTGTCAGCATGTTTGACTCACAAACAAAGTGCTCTGTGTGGTATTTATTGACTCGTGTCAGCAGCAGTCGAGAATCAACTAATGATGTGTCTTTTAATGAACGTAAAAAGCAATCTTATTAATATAATGTCCCCACAGGATGATAACTTTGCCATGGAAGGTGGGAGGCAGCCAATCACATTTGAGAACCCGTTATACGCCACTGCTCCTGGAGCGTCCAGCGATCCTGCTGTCATTCATGCCACGCAGGTAAACATAAATCATTTAATGAATTTTATTTTTATGTCATACCAATATAACAATGTTGTTTGTGTCATGAGTAGCATGACGTTCATGTTCTAAAGAAACAAACAAACCACATATTGTTCAGGGTTCAGTGGTTTTCTTCCAGCAGATAGTTATCTTATGTAGTTTTACATTATAACCTCTTTATAAAACCTGATATAAATTACAATATACAACTAAATGGACCTTATTTTCAAATTTTTCTTTTTTTTCTGCAATCACATACTGTATATGTATTTAATCTATTCAAAGAGGAATTTTATTTGAAATATAGTGAATAAATGGACTGCTGTTAAGTTTGTTTTCAGAATCAAGATATAAGTTAAACAGTAGTGACAGAGACATTATCTATGGATTTAACATAAAGTGTTGATGTTTGCTGACCAGGAGAGACATTTTTTTCTTCTTTTATTCCACATGGCAGCTTCTTAAGGTCCTTTGGGCATACCGTTTGTGGTCAGAACACCGTAATGTCCATGTAGAATAAAAGTAGAATTGGTATTTTTTTGTGCAGATCATTTCAATTAAATCAGGCAGCCAATCAACTCAGTTGTCAAGGCTGATGAAACTGACCCGACAACCCACTTCTCCAACAGGTGACTGTTAATGTGAGCGGTGAACAGCTGGAGAACAACTTTGTGAACCCGGCGTATCACGGAGATCAGAGCGTGGGCGTTGTGAACACATCGTCTGTCAGCACCAAACCTGTGCAGGTGTGTTTGCTGTATACAGTATGTCTAACGCTATGTAAGCTAAACCAGTATTACACATCAGGCTGTGGACCATATTTGATAAGATGTAGTCTCTATAACTATCTATACTGTAGACTGTCAGATGAATGAAGAGTGTGAAACCTGTGAACAGAATAGTGATTCTTCTAGTCTACTAAATTATAGTGAAATTAAAATATTCCACGTTTCTGGGAACCCCCCCTTAAGTGTGATACCTTCTCTCTGTTTTGTGTTGTGTTTGCAGGAGTCAAAGTGGAGCCTTTTCAAGCGAAAATTAAAGCCAAGCGCCACATTTGAAAACCCTTCATATTCCGAGGTAACATTTCTAAGACACCAGTTACAGAAACAGAAAGTCCAGTTGTTCTTTTGGCGTGTTTAACCCTCCGCGGTGTTTCACAGATGAAGGATGAAAAGCCTGTTGGAAGCAGCGGGGACTCTTCTTCTGCCCCTGAGCCCTCTCCGTTTGTGCCCCCCGCCAAACCTCCGAAGAGGGATCGTCCGAGCACCTTTTCGCCAACCGAGGACACTTTCAAAGACACAGCCAACCTTGTGAAAGAGGACAGCGACGTATAACCCCTCTCTCGCGGACGGGAAAAAAAAGAAAAAAGAAACACACTTTGCACAGAATTTATTTTTTTATGCAGCCTGTGTACAAAACAAATTGTTTTAGGAAAGAGAAATACATTTCTATAGAATGAAGAAAAAGGTCTTCTGTGACTATGCCTTCTGACATTTCTTATGCCAATTCTTGTGTTAATGTTTTCTTTATTCTGATGTACAATATGTATATCTTTGCACTGAAGCTGCTGATAGAAATGTTAATAAATAAGTTGTATATTTGTAAATTTGAACAGGAAGATTTTGTCAGAAAAAATATCTTTGAAATAGATCCTATGAATAATTTCACATAAACACAATAACACACGTAAAAAAGAAAAGTGAGCTGCATTCTGAATGTACAGTACTTATATGATCGAAGGCTATTAGAGAAACGTGTTGAGGAATGATATTTTTTTTTGCCACTGAACGAAACTGAAGATGTATTTATTCATCTTTCAGGTTTATATACCTCATTTCAGGGCGGGGAACTAAATAAAAGCAAGAATAATTGGATTTTAACTTATGCCATTCGTTTTTCAAAGACATTATGCTCCAGTATAAACAGATGTTTAAAATGTGCATGAAGCATACTTATTGTACCTAATCAAACTAATTTCTACTTTATGTTCCCTGACTTTATGACTTTGAATCAAAATGATCTTTTTTTTTTTTTTTAAGTAAATGATATTGGAACAGTGGCCAAAATAGTTTGGAACAATACTTGAACGTGTTTGTTAACACGGAAAATGAATTTCTGTAGTTGATCTTGGAGAGCAACACGTGAGCTGAGGATGCAGTTGTAGGCAGTCGTTTTATAAACACAGTGAATAAATTCTTACTTTTACAGAATGATTTATTTTGTATCATAATGAGGACAAATAAAACTTTTATCTGTGATCATCCACAAACATGCCCATATGGTTTAAATCGCTGCTGCTGAGACATGAATGAATAAATTTCCTATTTTGTAACACAGTCTTGACACTTATTTTACCTTTTTTGTCACAATATATTTCATTCAAGCATACAGAAATATCTGTCAGTGGTTCACATTGGGTTTTAGCTGGCTGCTTGATGTGTCTGTCTAGGTGAAGGAAGAAGCAGGCTGACAACAAAGTCTGACACAAATGAAGGGAGGTAGGACAGGGGAATCCACAACAGCTTGGCATCCCAGCCTGCACTGTAACGTGTGCGTGGGAGTCGAGCCGTCAGTGCATGCTCCATACACTTGGTCACCTTAGAGATATCTGGACTGCACAAGATGCCCAAAGAGAAGTCCTGAGCTTTCACATCTGACGGGGGGGGGCAAACAAAGGAGAAGTCATTTTAGAATATTAATTTGACGCCACAGATGATTTATTAACTGTACTTCCACTCACAGTCCTCGAAGTATGTAGGTCCATAGGAGTCTTTGACATCTTGAGGGAGGCGGCTCCACAGCCTCCGCAGGTCAGCTTCAATAAGATCCCGCTGGGTAACAGCTGTCTTGAAGAAACCAGGCTCAATGATGCTCACTTTGACGCCAAACTGTTGTATGCCCCTCCTAAGCAGCAGAAGGAGATCATTTTGTTTATTTTAATGCAACTAAAAAGTCATCTTATCATTCTTATTAAAAATGTTTAATTCTTCTGTTTGGATTTCCCTTACAAAGTAGTTTTAGGTCATGTTAATGTCTAAAAAGTTTTTAAATTATTCCAATTGTCAGCCTTTTGCAACTGAATGCAGCGATAGGAAGTATCTAAAAACATTTATTCTATTACAAATTTGACAAATTTGACTCAAATAGTTTAATTTAAATAACCGTTCAAGGCCAGAAGAGGTAAAATTATCCAGTATTTAAAAAACCACAAAAACATATTTTTTTTACTTCTCTCATTAACACACAACTTCAATCCCCCAAGATTTGCATTGCAACCCTTAGGAAGGGTCCAAACCTTACATTGGGAACCACTGGCCTAAACTACCTTATAAAGTTATTAAAACTAGCTGGAGCAGCAACAACAACAGTACAACAGTACAATGTATCAGTACCAACAATCTAACAATGTCACACATAAAAATAATCATCAATCTTTCTGCACAACAAGTACTTTTACTTTTGATTCTTTTGTAGTTTTAATAAACAGGAATTTGACTGCTGGACTTACCTGTAACAGTGAGTATTTTTATATTGTTGTATCAGTACCTTTACTTAAGTAAATCATGGAAGGACTTCTCCCACTACTGACTTAACATGTCTAAGACCAAAGAAATGTTAACTGACTTCTCAGCACTTTAAACACTGAGTTTTATTCCATCAGTTATTGGCTTTTTAGTAAAAAAACATCAACTTTAGCCTGATGACAGCAGTAACATTGGCGCTAACCTCTGTACTTGTGAATTTGTTTTTACTGTCTCTACTGTTTTCAATAACTCGTATGTCCTAATTTAAAGAGCATGTGTGATCTGTTGTGTTCCCACTACCGGAGGGAGTCGGAGAAGGCTTCCACTCCAAATTTAGACAGGCAGTATCCTCCACCAGTGAGAGACAGTCTGCCCAGAATACTGGCCACATTTACCACCCTGCCCTGGGCCTTTTTCACCAGTGGGAGAAACTGGAGGGTCACATCAATGACTCCTATCAGATTCACATCCAAAACCTTTGAGAAATCCTCCACCTGCATCCATTCTGGGGGGCCAATGGGTGTGGACCTGCCAGCATTGTTCACCAGACCCCATAGACCTGCAGAGGAAAGAGCCACGATTGTTTTAAACTTCTTAACTCACTTAGTTTTAACAGTTGTACATTGTACCTAAATATACTTCTGCACACTCCACTGATCACACTGCACTAATCTCTAATTTCTGTTATCTTTGCGCACTATTTAACACATTAAGTGGAGCCTGACTCCTGCTGTAAACTCAGTTGCATATGTAGTTGTTTTTGTGTCTTTTTTATTTACATTAGGCCTGCAACTAATAATTATTTTCATTATTGATTAATCTGCCAATTATTTCGAGTGGAATGAATCACATGACAGCGTAAAAGCATCCAGACCTCACATTGGAGAGGCTTGAACCAGAGAATATTTGGCATTGTTATTTGTAAAATGACAAAAATGATTAATTAATCATCAAAGAATAAATGATCAACTCTAATTTTCATATAATCTTTCTGACACATTTTTAATTGTAATCTTATATGGCTTTTTTTCATTCCTTCTTATTCCTTCATTTTGTTGTACTGACACAGCACAACAAACATGTACTACAGAATATCATACAGCACTGTGAAGATTAGCAGTGTTGGGGAGTAGTGAACCTTAGTGATTAAACAAGTAGTTTAACTTCCTCCAGTGTGAAGTAATTGGTCTCAACACTGGAGATTAGTATGTAGCTATGTCCACTACTCAACCCAACACATCCAATCCAATAAAATATGAGTCTGAACAGCTTCTAAAACTTTGACACTATAATCTGGATCTACTTTTTTTTTTATCAACCTGTAGCTCAGATTTATGTTTAAAGAAGCTTTACTGTGTTAAAAAATGCAGCCTATGAGGTAAGTATATTCACCCTCCTCTGTGTGTTAAACACATCAGTAGGAGGATGATGAGTTGATGATGGGATGGTCCAGGTTGCCTTTATCTCTTCCAGTGCCTCACTCTGACTGGCACCCTATCTGTGTGTACCCCCTGCCGTCCGCCCGGCTCACCCTGCTGTCCGACCTCTTTGCTCACAAACTCCATCGCCCTCCTGATGCTCGAGCTGTCTGTAACATTCAGCAGGAGGGTCTTCAGTCTGGGGGAGGCCGCTGCTGCCAAATCTGCTGCACCTCTCTCTGTCAGACATGCAGCTATGATGTGGAAACCTTTTCCATCCAGCTGTCTGGCCAGCAGATTCCCAAAGCCGCTGTCACAGCCTGTGATGAACACATGCTTCCGGTTGAAGCCATGGACTTTGTAGGAATCCCTGATGTGCCAGCGGATGGAAGCGAGAGCGGCCAGAAGTAAAGCACAGGTTAAGGCCAGGTGGGACAGGATGGCCTAAAACAAACACAATCCACAGGTTAGACTGTCTGTAAATCCTGAAAGGAAACATTTTTAATGGCTCTTATATTCTGAATATTCCACACTTTCTCTTTAAAGGGTTAAATAAAAACGATAAAAACAGATGAGAATATTTATGCAAACAAAGAGAAATCAACTCACCTCTAATAAATATGACGTCAGACTGTCAGTTGACACCTGAGTGGAAAGATTTGAGATTATTTCTAAGATTACACTCACCCAAGTATGGAAGATTAACACTGAATTACCCTTTACTTTCAGGTTTGTGCTGCACGGTCCATCCTCATGAAACTTTATCCTTATTTGGAATTAGCAGAAGTAACTTAGGCTAAAAAGAAGCCCCTGAAGACCCCATACACATTATGTGTCTGCTGGTTAACTTGTGGATATGCACCATTAACACAGACCATAAACTGAAATGTAAAGAGCATTAAAGAGCACCGTAATGTCCTATTTTAACTTAAACACCCCATCACATGATCAAAATGCATCTAAAGGTGCAGTGTGTAACATTTAGGAGCATCTATTGGCAGAAATGGGATATAATGTTCATAGGTTGGTTGTCATTAATGTATAATCACCCGAAAATAAGAATAATTGAGTTTTTGTTACTCTAGAAGAAGCCCTTTTTGAGAGTTTCTACAACTCTACTGTTAGAAGCCACTAAATCCCACACACTAGTCCTTTAAACCTGAAGGCCTGTTGTCTCCAGGGCCCCCTAGTGGGTTAATCTGACCATGGCAATAACACACCTACACTTTAAACATGAATACATTATTTTAACTAAAAGCAGGGTTTGTATTTTTTTTTTTTTTTTTACATATATTCCTATAACAGAGCCCCTTTAACACAAATCATAACCCAATTATGTAACAAAAAGAGGAAGTGAGTGTAAATAAAACAATCTTGGTTGTTATATGAGAGAAATGTGACATTCATGCACTTTCATATCTTTAACTAATTACATGTATTCAAACACTGCACTTCAGTTTGAGGTACCTTATTACATCTTATAGTTCTTTAGACTTCTACTACTACACCAACATTACTGAGGGATGACAGCTGTGGTAGAAAGTCACTTTTCACATTATAATTTTACAGACAAAACATGATCAGCTCTGAAAATATTTGTTATCTAATAGTTTATTAGATGACACAACAGTAGTTAAAATAGCTCCACCTCAACCAACAGTAAAATGTACACATGAATCAGTAACATTAATCCCAGAATATAATGTATGATAATACTGTACGTAATAATGATCATATGGCCAATTCCCCTGCATAATGAATACATTTCATACATTTCCTAACAATATTTCTGTACTTTAACTGTGAATGCAGAAGTTATAGTGACTTTCCCTTAAGTGAAATATCTGAATACTTCCACCACTGTACTATATTAACGCACAAGAGATGAACTGAATGTTTGTGGCGCTCAAATCATTTAAAAACTGGACATTTCCTGGTTATATTTTGCAATCCACAAATAAAACCCAGTTCACCTCCATTGTACTGGGTCTCAGCAGCAGACACCACAAGAGATGGGAAGGAGGACTTTTAATTTGTTGTGTTTTTAGTGATCCAATCTCTTAATGCAAACACAGTGGCATCAGATTGAGCTGGTTTGTGCAAAAAAAAACTAAATAGTTAAATTAGTTCCTAAATTTTATATCAAATAAACAAAAACAATAAAGCTACTGTTCTCCTAATGAGCAAAGCCAATTAACACGTATCAAAATATGCAAAATGTGTAATAACGATACTACTACTACTACTATAAATATTAATAATGCAAACATACCATGTCTACAGTTTCCCTCTCAGTCAACAGTGGAAGCTTCAGGTGCAGTCGTGTTAGTGTCTGATGCCTCAGTGTGTCTGCAGTGTCAAGGTCCATCGTGCTGTCGATAAAACAGCGGAGGCTAAATGTTTCACTAACACGATATTGTGTAACAGACAACACCAGATGACGTGACCCCTGGTTTTGATAGCTACATTCCCCCGACCTTTTACCTTAAAGCCACTCTGAAAAACACAACAGCCCCAAAAGGTTATTCAGAGGAAAGGCCGTCTGGTTCTAAAATATTCTGGTTTAAACAGAAACAGAGGAGCCAAAGTCCACGGAGAACAAAAGATTTACAAGTTTGACATCAATATCATGTGACTTAAGAAGCAAAGGCCGCTACCTTAGATCTTATAATCAATATGGCATTCGAAAACACTAAAAATGAAGAGGCCAACATGGTTCACAATACATAAATGTTTATGTTGCGGTCAGTATTTAACATTTTATTGCATTTATAATAAAATACACAAAAATTGATCTTCAAATTATACCCATTATTCTTTCCTCCAGTAACTTATTTGAACTTCAGTGTAGGTATTTTGGGGCTGCTTTTACGGAGAACTCTGTCCATGATGCAGGTGGGCATGTACGACAGAGGCAACCATAAGAACTTCGCGTCCCATCCTGGAGAGTAGCGAGTGCGAGGGTGAACGGCGGAGATGGCGTGCTCCATACAGCCGACCACTTTCATCAGGTTCCCGTCCGTCAGCAGCTTGAACCTCGCGTCCAACATGTCCAGAGCTGAAAGGGAAGAGGAACACAGATGTGGTTTATGAAACAGGATAATTAGGATTTTACTTCCTAATTAGCTCCTAATAACGTCTTGGAAAGAGTTTTGTGGTTTGGCAACAATTATAGATAAAATACAGACATGGTTTTAGTTGGTAAAATCAAATAATGAATCACAATTAAACACTAAGCTGGTCAGGAAGCTCTACAGCTAGACACACAATTCAACATGCATGAAAAAGATTATATAAATAAAATAAACAGTCACAGACAACAGGAAAATAAATCGATATCCTGTCTGCTTCATCTGATTACTTTTACAGCTCTAACGAGCCTCTTTAATTCCCTGTTTTACATCTCTTTTAAAAACCACTTTTACATGTAACTGTTCTATCATTTTACTCTCTTAGCTTTGATAAAGTCTATATATTCTATTGGGAATTGCTGAGATTATTTTCTATTTGACTGTTTTTTGGTTAATTTCTTTTTCCTGTTTTATCACTTCACACACTTTTCAACCTTGTCTCTCAAAGTGTTATATAAATAAAGTCTATTAGGAAGAGACACAGTTGGTTTTGGGTATTAATTTGAATCTGAATGCAGCAATTTGTCTCCTCTGCATTCTACCTGGGAACTTACAACAATAATTCAAGCTATAATAAATAAATAATAAATAAAATAATAAATCTGTGAAGCATTTTTTCCTCTAATAGCAAACAAATCGATGAATAGATAAACAAATAAACCTCCTGGTTGAAATGCAACCTCCAAATACTGAACAGTGGAGAGATTCATAGCAAAGCTTTAAGTGAAAACAGATGTGTGACTTATGAATAAAATATAAAGCGATAATGTGTATTATCATTTATTAATAAAAAGGTGCAGTCACTCACATGCCCCCAAGAAACCGTGTCCATACTCGTCCTTCACATCCTGAGGCAGTCTGTCCCAGAGCTTTTTCAGGGAACTTTTCATAATCCCTGTATCAGTCACATTGGTCTTGAAGAAGCCTGGCTCAATGCACGCCACCTTTATTCCAAATGGACCCATGTTTAATCTGGAACACAAAGAGGGAGGAGGAGGAGGAGGAGGAGGAGGAGGAGGGGGTTCGCTGTAAGTCAAGACCACACTCGTGAGAACAACAATATCTGTACAGCATGAACAAGTTACATCTCCACTCACCGCAGGCTGTCGTTGAAGGACTCCACGCCGAACTTGGACACGCAGTAAGGTCCCCCAAACGGGCTGATTCGCCCAAACACGCTGGCGACGTTCACCACTCTGCCTCTGGACTTCTTGATGAGAGGGAGGACGCTCAATGTCACGTCGATGACGCCGCACAAGTTGACAGACAGCATGGCCTTGTAATCGTCTATAGTGAGCCAGTCGGTTGGACCGGACGGCACCGAGACTCCGGCGTTGTTCACAACCGCCCAAAGGCCTGGAGAAACACGAGATAATGGACTCAAGGAGATGAGATTATTATAGATAGATAGATCATAATATAAATCATAATACAGTTTCTTTTTCTTTCTCGCAGGTCACTCTTTAGCTTAAAGCATAAAAACTAGAAACGAGGGAAACAGATAACCTGGCTCTGACTGGAGGTAACAAAATCTGCCTTCCAGCACCTCTAAAGAGCTCCAATTAACATTATAGTCAAGTCAAATTTTATACATACAGCCTCCTCATGGGGCTTTAAAATCTGCAGTGAGGAAAAACTCCCACAAAAAAACCTTTGAAAAAGGGGGGAAAATTTAAGAAACCCTCAGGAAAAGCCACAGACAGACGGACTATAGATGTTGAATGTACAGAACAAACCAACAAAGTTTCATTATATACGTAATTTGAGGAGACAATTTCTGATACATGAAGATGATGAAATATATGTGAAGAATGTGGATCCAGTAGGACACTGAAACAACTTTGTGTGAAAAAAACAAAACAACTATTTCACCTGATTTCTGAATTCCTGAGGTCTTCGCTGGTTGAAAAATCACAACAAGACACACCAGGAAGTCACTGTGCCCAGTAGATAAAGTGTTTTGTGCACATATTGTCATTTTTAAGATATACCACGTTAATCAGTGAGTTTAAGAGGTGCTGGTAGATGGATTTTGTTGCATTTGGACAGAGTCAGGCTAGCAGTTTCCCCCGGTTTCCAGTCTTTGTGTTAAGCTAAGCTAAACTGGGTATAGTACATTATGGTATGGAATATTGCACAGTAGGTAAGGTTTGTAAACAGTGTATAATAGTAATAGTGACTGAAGAGAGTCCGGGGGTTGGGGTGGTTGGACTATGAAATCAGTGCATGTGAGAGTTCAGGGTGGTTATTGCTTTTGGGAAGAAGCTGTTTTTGAATCTATTAGTTTTAGTCCTAATGCACCTGTAGCGCCTCCCTGAGGGCAACAGGTCAAACAGGTTAACAGGAGTAGAGAGTGGAATCAATCTTCTAAAGCTAAGTTTGTTGAAAGCAAATAAATGTATTTTAAATTGCTAAACTATTCCTTTAAAGTCAGAGTGTTTTATATAAAATACATTATGTTTCACACATAAGAGACATTGTTAACAGTGTAATGTGATCTCCTATAGATGAAGCCAAGCCTCTCACCCTTCTCTCCAACCAGAGTCTTGATGAGTGCTGCTGCTTTGCCGACACTTTCAGAGTCGGTGACGTCCAGGTGAACCGTCGCCAGTCTGTCAGAGCAGTTCTTCTTCAACTCGTCTTCACCTTTCTCTGTGTAACAAGCTGCGATCACACAGAAGCCCAGCTGGTCCATGTGCCTCGCCAGGAGATTACCAAACCCAGAGTCACAGCCGGTGATGTAGACGTATTTATCTCCCTTGTTGGACACTCGTTTGCTCTCCTTGTACCAGCGGTAGAGAAACCAGAGAGCCACTGGACCGAGGACGTACAGGAACATTTTCCTAAAGGCAAAGAAGATCATACATCATACTGATACTCATACTAATATATTTACATTGTATAGATGTATAATATTAATAATATATATAAAATTATGACAGAGTTGCTTCAGCAGATTTTTTTTTTTTAAATTACACAAAACTTTGATTCAAATATTAAAAGAGAAAAATTGTGCAAATGTGCCACAGACAGAACATTTAATCAGCATAAGAAGAGCCACTTAATTGATTATTATTATTATTACTACATTATTACATTACTGTGCAACATTTTACCATTTATTAGACAAACAATCCCTTTAGTGGTTTTTCTGGAGCTCTCGAATGTAACACACAATCTTCTTCAGCAGGCAGAGTTTGCCTTTGTTGAACCTCACTGATATTCTGGAGACTAGTAGAGATTTTAATCAGCTGATGAAGATCATGTGTCACAATCAAAAGCTCCAGAGCAGCTAATGAGTCCGAGGTCAAGAATTCAACTTTCAATCTCATGTTTTTTTTTTTTTTTGTTTTTTCCTAATCTGCCGTATTAAAGCACGGTGAAATTCCCCTCAAGTGTGGATCAATAAAGTCTTATCTTAACAGATAACTTTTTTTATAACCTCAGCAGACCCCTTTACAGTCCTGGAAATATTGTTTTTGATCTAATGACATTTTACAACTACAGCAATAGTTTTTAGTGCCGGCCCTCT